AACGCAAATTAGAATATCTGGAACATATAATGAGGAACCAAAAGAGATATGGTCGACACTGATTCCATCTATACGAAGATATGAGTTTCGTTGCCAAGCGTATATATTTTCGAAAAATTCGATTTTATACGCTGTCCAAATGTAAAGTCGATAGCTTTAAATTTCGGGCACTTATCGTGTTTCATAGCGATGTACGAAAAACGGTAAAAAATGTAGAAAAAAATATGGTCGCCAAGGTCCGATCGCGGCCATTTCTTCTGTCCCACGGGGGTGTTTAAATCGAACTAAATCCCAGCTCCCTAGCTCAAACCCTTGGAAAGTTATTCACGTTTTTGCGGAGCGTCTACAGAGAACAGACAAAAAATAAAAATATTTCTTTTTCGACGCTGATTCTATATGTACCAATGGCGACGCTGTACGAGGATATGAGCTTCGTTGCCAAGCGTATATATTTTCGAAAAATTCGATTTCGTGGATTTTTCGAAAGCAACTAGCCGAGATGCAGGAGGAAGCACGATGCTGAAGCTGAAGTGTTTTAGTGGAAACTAAGCGACATCCTGTATAACAGTTTCAATAAGTCCCGTTAGGGTCCAAAAAATCTAGAAAAAAGATGGACGCCAAGGTCCGATCGCGGCCGTTACTTCTTGGATTATGTATCCCGCGGGATGTTTATCGAGCTAAATCCCAGCTCCCTAGCTCAAACCCATGGAAAGTTATTCACTTTTTAGTGTCGACAGCGAACGGAGAACAGAGAACAGAGAACCAACGTGTACCAACGGCGACGCTGTAGGATATATGAGTTTCGTTGCCAAGCGCGTATAGTCTAAGTGTTGTAGTGTAGGCCATCGACATCCGGTATAACATTTGTAGAAACTGCGACGTCCTCCTACACAAGAACTCGCGAAACTCGTTTCGAGTGGGCCAGGTGACGTCACCGCACGCCGTCAACTTTACCCGCACAACAAGCAGTTGTTTGGGAAAACGGCCGGCCAGTCCTGCAACAGCACCCTGTATAAATCTCTGTCGCGGTAGCCCGAGCGGTAACGGACTAATAGAAATGCCAAGCCGAGTGGAAATAAATTACACTAATGTATGGTAAACATTCATATATGTAAGCGCTCGGATCATAAATATGTCACTACCGTTGTCGTCTAAATGCCTATTAATGTGTTCTTGGGAAATTTAAAACTTGGCCGCCTTTAATTTTGCCTCACGTCGCTGTGGTCGCCGATGAAAACGGACAGCTGTCGTCGGCCGGATTGGGAAACGGACAGTGGCGGCGCCGCCGGGGTTTCGATAATAGTAATGGCTTCATTAATTGTTGGAAAAAGCTTCCACTGTAATACCTTTCACAAAACTTCCGGATTCCTCGTGCGGCGGTCATTGATGAAGTTGACGTTTCGCCAATCGTCCTGTTCACTGGTCTGCCAGAAAACAATTTTTTTCTCTCCTTGTTTTCATGCATGAATTCATCGTATTTTATGCTCTAAACATGGAATCTGATATACAAATAAGTACCATACGTAGGTTTTTAATTTAATATTTATTTCATCAAAAAACAATATTATTAAAGTATAAATTATTATAAGGAAATAAAAAAATGTGGAGGCTTGAGTTTTACAGTAAAAAATCCTAAATTATATGAATTATGAAATATTTTTATTTTCAGCCTCCTCATTAACTGGTGGAACTGGAGGTGGAGTGTCTTTATCACGAGGAATTGGTCTCTTTGCAGATAGGACGTTCGGATAAACAATCTTATCTCTATTTTTTTTCGAAAATCCTCTTGTAGATGTCATGCAGAAATAACAATCATTCTCATGGATTTGTGACTTTCTTCAAGCCAACCTCTCAACGTTCTTGAGCAGCTATTGCAGCATACTTTTGGCAACTTTTATCTCGCTCATCGATAGAAAATCCAAAATATAGCTTATAAGCTGTTTTGACCAGATCGGTCATGACATGTCGCTGTGTTTTTAGTATGTATTCCCCACAAATGTAGCAAAAACAATCTGAGGAATTTTTCCAAGTCCCTGGCATTTTGTAACCTAAAATCACATAAAATTAATTTTAAAACAACTTTCAAACTTCTATTTTATATTTATTGGCTCTACCTAAAAAAAAAATACTCAAACTCCACATCAAATACTTAAATCCAATGTAGAGAACATGAACTTTATGCAAAACTTACCAAAATATTTGATATAAAAGGTAAACAATTAAACGACAAGTTTTCACTGAACTGTTGTAGTGTCACAATGAATACTGCGCATGTGCGTATTTACTACCATAAAAATCACCTTCGGCACTGCCCACCTTTCTCTTACAACTCTCTGAAACTCATTTTGTATGTATATTTCCTTTTTGTAACGTTGACGAATAAAAAAAATTGAAAAAAAATGCCAAAATTTTGAAATATAAAAAAAATCATAACAAAAAATCTAGACGTGATAGAAAAAATCGGCCAACGGGGATAGATTCAAAACGTTTGAATCACTATATTTATCATAACAATTTTTAAAGGATTTCATTGCCAACCAGTGTTATTTGAGGGGGGAGAGCTAAAGGAAGGGATGGCAGTTCCCATATTGGTTGAAGAGTAAAGACCTGAATCGCGGTTGGGATTGCTTGCTTTTAGATCTCTACAGAGTCTCGGTTTTTTCTGTAGAGGAATTCATAACATGCAAGAATTTTATTTATTACGATGATGTTCGGCAACTACTGATAATTTTATTTGGTGTAGTCTTAAGGTTCGTTTATGTTTTTTGAACCTAGTGAGAAGAAACATCTCGATATCTTCCATCCAAAACCAAAATTATGGATTGGCTACGTTGATGATACTTTTGTTATTTGACCTCATGATCAAGAATCCCAGCAAAATTTTCCTAGCCATTTGTTCTCTATACACAATAACATACCATTGAATTAGAAGCCAATGATAATATTCCATTATTAGATAGATAGAAAATCATACCTAACATTGGGTCATTCCGTTTATAGAAAACCTATACACACAAAGCAATACCTTGATGCCTTATCGTATTACCATACCCATTACCCAGAACTAAAACACGTAACATATGATATTCTCTCTAATAATTTCCACATTAGAGATATTAAGCGTTCCCTGACAAAATACACTTCATCACAACCTTCTAAACCCCACACATGCCACACATATCAAAAATTCTACAGAAATATAACTTCAAAAGCAGATTTAGTACATGTCCAAAAGATTCTCAACACCTTCGAACTCTGGATTTCCTCTTTGTCTTGCTGACGTTCCGCTTGGAAAAATGTCCTTTATCCGAATTATGTATAAAAAAATATTATTTTTGCTTGTTAGAAGCAATTACAAACAAAAAAATCACAAATTTTCCTGCGGCAATGCATTGCAATGAAATTGACATTAGTTATAATGAAGCCTAAACTAACTAAAGTGAATTTTGGAATACCAATCCCAGCACCAATGACAAAATAATGGAAGTTCGACTAAATCTTAGTTTTTTTATTCACTTTCTGGGTGAAATAGATACCTTTCCTTTTCAATTTCGATAAGATTGCAATCAGAATCTCCACAGAACCGCACTTTCTAGGTAGACTCTCCACGAGAGCAAGACCCTGTGTTGGCAATAATGCAATTTTTCATACAACAATTATAAAGTTGTTCATAAAGAATTCATTGAAATATCCTAGACAAAGCAGGATCGTTAGAATGTAAATGATTTGTTATCTGACAATGATTTTTTCTCCCCTTTTGTTTTTTGGCTCTCGCTCTCTCTCTCTCAACGTGAAGTTTTTTTTACTCTCGTAGAGCTCAAGGAACTAACCAAAACTATATGTAATCTCATACCTGAAAATCGTCATATGAGGAAATTGCACAATGTATTCAATAAGTTGAAAGAAGATACGAGACAGTTATTACGATTTATGATCGGCGAACGGTTTTTTTTAACAACGTATTTTTAATTAAGTGGAAATTTAAAAATAAATTAAAACGTTTCGCTCGACAGAGCGATCCCGGGTTCATCGGATAAAGAGACCGACAATGTATGTTTGCGTTGGTACAACCTGTTTGCAATAAATTAAACCGAAGATGTTGTTTATTTAAAGAACTACGATAAAAATAAGCATGCAGACCAAGTTGTTCTTAATATATTTCTGCTATACGTATTTTCATGTATTTTTTACCTGTAATATGCATTTGCAAAAAGAAAAGTCAATTTTACCGAAAACCTGCGAGGGAATTCTAATTTGGCTTCTCATAAATACGAAAAATTGTTTACATCAACTTAAAAATTGGATTACAAAAATATTAAGGCAAACAGAGAATTTCTCAAAAGTTTTCAGTAGAGTCATGTGGGGCAAGAGTGCGCATTTTTTTTTCTATGGTCATAAAATTGTAATAATTGTACAAAATAAATTGAAATAAAAGTATTTATTTAAAGGATTTATTGATTTAACAGTTACGTAACATGAAATTCAATTTACTTAATTGCAATTAAAGAAATAAAATAAATGTTAGTCAGAATGCGCACACTTACCCCAATATTGGGGTAAACGTGCGCAGCACTACGGGTAAGTGTGCGCATTGGTAATAATTTAAACCATAACTTGTTACATATAGTTACACCATATTTAATGTTATAAATATTATTTTTTATCAATACTTATCATTTTTTACTTCATTTTTTATATTTATATATTAAATATATAATTTTTGACAAATACTGTTTAACTTGATTTTTATCGAGAAGAAGGCTTATAGTAGTTAACAGTTTTGAATAGAGATAAATTCAAATGAGATCGTTTTTAACGAATATGATAAAATCTTAATTATTCGAACATATATCACATATGAAAGCACCAGTTTCATAATGAGTGCACTGTTCATGCCACCAGCTATGACATAAGCTACATTTAATCCAATCCTCTGTAGGTGGATCAACGTATTTTTCACCACACAATGCACAGTAATCATCATTTTCCTAGTATTCTTCTTTGTTTTTTTTTTTAGAATTTTCAGTTTTATTTGCTCTAGCTATGCTAGTTGACGTGGGTTGTCGTAAATTCAAGTCAGGGTGCCTTTTTAAAAATCCATACACCCAATAACGTCCAGCCATTTTCGACTTTCGATTAAACCGATGAGGAATATGACTTATTTCAGCATACTCGTAGATCAATGTTCTTAGAGTTGTCATATTAAGACCATAATAGAGATCATCACATCTTTTTAAATAATTATATATTTCATTTTCTTGCTCACTTGTGAAAGTTGAAGTAAATCTTCCTAATTTTAGAGCACTTGAATCAGATTTTAATCGCTTCCTGAGAGTACTCTCTTTCATTCCAACCTGTTCAGCTGCTTTTCTTTTACTTAAACCTTCGGCAATCAATCGCTTAGCAGCATCAAATTGATCACGGGTAACAACGGACCTGTGTGGAGCCTTGCGCTTGTAATTTCGAGGCATTGTAGTTTTTTTTTAAGAAATATATAAGTATAACCTGAAACAAATAACAACGAGTGTCAATACACAAAGAACTCACTATCGGGGTAAAAGTACGCATTAAAATATGCGTACTCTTACCCCACAACCGTATGCGTACACTTAACCCTAATCGCTTTTACAGATTTAGTTTAAAATTACACATTTTTGCGTCATTCTACCAAGTTTTGATGTATAGCTGATAAAATTAGATATATAAACGAGCATAATTGGACATAATTGATACTAATTACCGCTACATAAATATAATATATATAATATAAGAATAATAACCAAAATTTTTACTTACCAATATTACTAAAACTACGTAACTTTGCCAGACAAGACTCTAGTCTTCTGTCTAACGTCGTAGTGACTACTGAAGGCAGTTGATTCCCCTACTCTACTGTCAACGGTTTTATAAATAATAAGCCACTTGTACCCTACGCAAAAAGAAAGTTAAATTTTGTCATAACTAGGCAACATAGTTCGTAAAGAAAAATAACATAATTTTGTAAATTTATTTTTCTAATTTTTACATTTTTGAAAAAAATATATTTTTTGTCGTCAAGCCTGAAGTATCCTTATAATGTACTAAGAAAAATAGGGAATTTCTCAAAATTAATTTTTTTCACCAAAAAAAAAACAAACAGATCTCTATGAAAGGTCACAAGTTAAAAATTAAATTTGATGATACACGTTAATGTATAGTGCGTGTAAATTATTTTTGGTAGCGTGACAAAGACAGAATTTCTCAAGTTTTCTCGTGGTGATAATCATTTGATTAAATTGAGATCTGTTGTTAAAATCTTGGGTCTACATATCGACGTAGACCGTTTCGCAGTTCATATAAACAAATATCTACAAAAATTTAAAAATATATTTCAAAATCGAGATCTTCTTACATAATCTTTAAAAATACTGCAGAAATAAGAAAGGATCCCAGTGCTAGTCGCCAGGAAGCTGATTGGCTCTGTTTGTAATATGGATTTATAACAATATAATGCCCTTATATTTCAAATGGCAGATCACCAGAAATAGTTCTACTTTTAAATAGATTTATCCCTGGTTAGACTAGAAATCCGATTCTCTATGGCAGCGTAGGTTCGAAACCTATCTATTGTAAACGTAAATTGTTGTTTTGCTTGAAATATATATTTTTTAATTAACAGCTCAGCCCAGCCTCAAATATGGGAATTGAGTGCATAAATTTATAACAATTGCATGGCACATCACCAGAAATAGTTCAACAGTTTCAAACAGGTTTATAACAATATTTACAATTTGATTTAAAAAATGTAATAATGTAACAACATAGCAAATAAGAGCTGGAAAAATTCAGGACACCCCATTATAAAAATTGAGGATTCTTGTATTTCTATACAAAACAATTACTCTCAATGACGACCCTTATAGCGAAACAGAATTAGTTTTAAACATTTGGAATATGAATTTATTGTAAAAATTTATTTTCATTCTTTTTTTTTCTTTTTCTTAGTAATTTAATAAGACGATACCCACCTAAATAAACTAATTTTAATAAATACCGGACCGAGTTTTGAATCTATCCCCGTTGGCCGACGATATGATTTTTTTTTATATTTCAAAATTTTGTTTTTTTTTTTTTCAATTTTTTCATTCGTCCACGTTACAAAAAGTAAATATACATACAAAATGAATTTCAGAGAGTGGTAAGAGAAAGAAGGGAAGTGCCGAAGGTGATTTTTATGGTAGTAAATACACGCATGCGCAGTATTCATTGTGACACTACAACAGTTCCGTGAAAACTTGTTTAATGGTTTACCTTTTCTATCAAATATTGATTGATTGAGTTTGAGTTTTTTTTTTTTAAGTAGAGCCAATAAATATGAAATAGAAGTATGAAAGTTGTTTTAAAATTAATTTCATGTGATTTTAGGTTACAAAATGCCACGGACTGGTTTTTCAATGCCAATGATTTGGGGTGAGCCTCAAAATCATGGGAATGATTGTTATTTCTGCATGACATCTACACGAGGATTCTCGAAAAAAATAGAGATAAAATTGTTTATCCGAACGTCCTATCTGCAAAGCGACCAATTCCTCGTGACACTCCACCTCCAGTTCCACCAGTTAATGAGGAGGCTGAAAATAAAAATATTTCAGGTCTACAATCTCAATCGAGTTTTGTTGATATAATTTAGGATTTTTTACTGTAAAACTCAAGCCGCCACATTTTTTTATTTCCTTATAATAATTTATACTTTAATAATATTGTTTTTTGATGAAATAAATATTAAATTAAAAACCTACGTATAGTACTTATTTGTATATCAGATTCCGTGTTTAGAGCATAAAATAAGATGAATTCATGCATGAAAACAAGGAGAGAAAAAAAAATTTTTTTTGCAGACCAGTGACGTATTATTGCCGTCGGCGGGTAACTTGCATAATTGCGACAAAAGCAAGCACAATGAAGGTTGAGACTTACCTTGCCATATCATAAATCGCCGGAATCAGTAAGATCAGCAAGCCTAATCATGTAAATTTCGTATAACTTATTATTTTCTTTTATAAATAATATAATTTTACTAGCCACTTTATAGGGGAACTCCTAGCTTAGCTGGACAGACAGCTAGGGATCTCTTGTATCGACGCACAGCCACAACTTTACTTTAATTAACTCTTGGTAAATATTAAAATAATTAAACATTTTTTAAAAAGCCGAAACCTCTTATCAGTTCGTGATCGTCTCCCACAATAGGACACTCTCGTCTAACCCGTATCGAATAATCAAAGAATTTTAACAAGCCCACGTAACTGACGTTCGGCCAAATACCACTCAACAGCTGTGTCAGCTCGGGTCTATTTTCAGATAAGACGGATAGTTCCTGTCGAGCTCATTATTACGTTCCCATTATTTGCGTTTCTAGTGGCGACGAATTTTAAAGTTATCACTCCCCAGCCGAATAAATCTCCCACATCGGAGCGACCCAATAAAACGCGTTCAAGATTTAACAATAAAAATATAATTTCAGCTCAAATCGTACAGTAATGATATGGTTGGATTTTTATAAACTCTTCTCGCATAATACGCACATAAGGGATATTCGAAATTTTGCTGGTGTGGAAACACGAGAGGTCTGTACACGGATATATTATATTATATTACAACCGATTTGATCAGCGAACGAAAACCTTCATATAAATGCAATAATTAAAAATAATATCACACTTTCACATCCATACATTAAATACAGATTTGAATCGTTATAATTTTTTTGTTTTTTTTTTTTAAATATATTTACGCGACAACTTCCTCTATAACCGCCATATCTCGCTCGACTCGAAAGCGTTACATCCTGATGACGTTGTTAATCAATATTAACGCTCTATTCGACAAAGCTACAGTCTAACAGCACGTCTGAGTTATTTGGTTAATAGCTTCTACGACTCAGAAGAGACTGGTAAACAACTAACGCGAAGCTTCCGTTCCCCAGAAAAGGGTATCTCTAGAGATGCAGAGATGCGATTGGTACCGCATTCAGGCAGAAATGGTTCTCGATTGTTGTTTTCTAGAGAAAAATCGTTTCACAATAACAAGTTTAATTAAAGAAGTCTGAAAGTGATTTTGTGGTACATAATGGTGTCATCGAAACAATGTCTTTTAGAAGACCTAAACCTAAGCAAAAATGTCCAACCAGACCATATCCAACATTATTGAATATTATATGCACTACAGAGATGTGATTGGTTCTTCATTCCCAGGCAGAAATGGTTCTCGATTGTTGCTTTCTAGAGAAGCAGTAGTTTCACACCAACTTCAGAAGTCTGGAAGTGATTTTTTTTATACGGAGCAGTGATAGCTAAACGGTATCATCGAAATCCTGTCTTTCAAAAGACCTAAACCTAGGCATAAATGTCCAACCAGACCAATACACTGCAAAGTTTTCATTCTAGAGGAAAGGCTATATATAGAGGCACCGTCAAGGTCTTTATTGTTGGTTTCAAAACAAAAAACCGTTTCAGAGCAAGTCACGCCAACAACATCAATTCCAGAAATCTGTAAGTGAATTTGTGGTGCGAAGCAAGACCAGGTAAGTGAAGGTCATCATCCAGACAACATCTTGAACTTAGACCTGAGCAAAAATTAGTTGATTCACCGACCGAGTCCGATATTAATTGATAGAGCAAGGATGGGGTAAGTGTCATCATCATCCAAATCACGTCTTTACCCTGAGCGACAATTACTAGATTCACAGAGCACGGCCGATATTAAGTAAAAGAAATAGTTTCAACAAAGTTGATTCTACAAGGTCCACGTGTCCAACATCATGAATGAAATCGAAAAACAGGTTTTCTATAACTGCTACGATTCCCATCGGCCTCCCAGGACGTAACCCTTTCAAGCGGCGAGCAAATGTCAACCGCGACTGCGACTACATAGTGACCCGACAATTTCTACGCTTTCCTCCCGTCGCGCGGACATCTTAAGACTAGGCGAGACCCACTTTCGGACCACAGCACGTTATTTGGCATTCCTACGGGTGCATCCCGGGACTCGCGCCCAATCTGGGCCCGTAAATCGAATACGGCGACAGATACGGCGGCAAGCTAGGATGACCGAGCGGGAACCCGCTCAGAGACGGGGGCAAAAGGGACGGTTTCGAATAGGGATGGTACCTGGCGGTAGCTAGAGGACTGAGCGGAGGGGTAGGATAGGTGCGGTGCAGCAGGGGGTGTGCCGTAGGCGGTAACCCGGGGTTACCCAGCATGGAAAGCGGGGAACCGGTCTCCGTCGTCACGCTGGTGTGAGTCCTCAGATGGGCCAAGAGCTCCTCCGAGCTGGAGAACCTCTTGCCGCAGTAAGACGCGTCGCCCGAGATCCAATTGCAGATGTAGGGCAGGTGGGAGGCGGCCGCCAGGGCCGCCAGCTGAGCGTGCGCGTACGCAGTGGCGGCCGGACTGTGTCCCATGTACGCGGGAGTCTTCGCGTGGTCGCACTGAGTACATCCCGCGGGACACGGACCACTTTTCGCACTTGCAGCACTAAGGAGGTGCGAACTGACACTACACCCGGTACAGTAGGGATCGCGGCACACCGATAACGAGTCCTGAGTCTTCAGCCTTCCGTAGGTGAAGTACGGGCTCAGCGCGCTCGTCCTCGACAGCAAACTGCTCGTCATCAGGTCCATCGGTAACGGAAACCCGGGTGCCGCTGCGTAAGCGTTGAGGAAAGCGGACGACACCGGCACCCCAGGTTTGAAGGTACCCAGAGGCAGGTCCTTGATGGCCGGATCGGACGACGACGTCAAGATATTCGGCGTGAACGCGGTTTTTGCGACTCCCGACGACGTAGTTTCCGGCGTGGCGTCCCCTTCGACTGGTTTCTCGGGGGATTTGCTACCCTCGCCCGGCGTCTTCCTACCCACCGAGGTGGCGGGACTCTCCCGAGGCGACGCTGCGCTCTGGTTACTACCGCACCTCTTCAAAGAGTTGTTGGGGGTGCGGGTCCTGGTGCCGCCTACGGAGCCGGCCCTTTGCTCGGGACTGTGGCTTTTCTCCCTGCCGGAGGAGACTTCGAGATGGGGCGTCTTGTAGGCGGCGGAGACGGGTGGCCGGTGCGATTCTGTCGGGTTCGGGGTGGACTTGTCTTTGGAGGGGTCGGTTTTCTTGTTCCCTTTCTCGGCGCTCTGGAGGAGCTTGGCGTTCGGACTGTCCGCGCCGATCTGGCTGCATGTCTGGGCGAGGAGCGCCAGCGGGCTCTTCTTCGCGTCCAGCTGGAAGATTTAAATTTCCACTTTGCAATTTCTTATTAACACGAAAGGAATAAGGAGTTGGGCAGAAAGTGGAAGCCGTGACTTTACGTCTATGCTACAGTGCGCTCCTCAAGGTGGGGGGGATGAAAATAGTTCTAAAATTTAAGCTTGGCTTGGCGGGTATTGATACTCGACATTAGTGTGTGAGTGTTTACTGCTTACTTATGTTTGACTTGAATATATTTTAGGATTGTTAATTCTGTTTTGTTCTATAAATTTGTTGTGATTTATGAAGACTCGTGGACTTTATTATTTGTGAATGGTCGCCCAACATCTGTATCTTTCAGACATTTTGCTATTAAAGTGCTGCTGTTGCTTTTGGTTATTTTTTGTCCTGTAGGTAGTTAATTAACATCTGTTAACAAAGCAACTGATTTATTACTTTGATCTGCATTTATTTTACCCTATTATATTTTTCACTGCATTAAGATTTTTAAACTGTGTTGAATTCTTTTATTCTAAACAATACAAACTTCAACAAAATTATTTTCAAAAATTTACAACACTAGTCATAAGCGAGTAGGGCAAACGCTTTATACAGCTTGGCTTAAATAAAGTTTCTTGGTTACTTGTAAAAGAAGAAGAGCAAAGACAAAACCAAAAAACCCGCAAAGACATTTCTTTTTCTATGTGGCAGAGAAAACCGGATGGGTCTGTACCAAATCCGCCTGGTCGAACTGGTAGATTTCATTTATTCCACTGATAAATTAATTTTTTTATCAACAATTTACTTTTAGTTAATTTGTTTTCCTCTATTAGTTATTTTATTTAACTTTAGTTAAAATAAATACTATTCATAAGCAAGTATGACAAATACTTTGTGTAGCTTAGGGTAAATAAAACGTATACGGAGCTTATCGGTGACCTCTTTTGGCGATTTCTCAGAAAAGAAGAAGAACAAAGACAAAACACAGAAGGTGTCAGTCGCACAGACACTTTTGTCTTTTTACATGGAAAATAAAACCACTTGGTCCATACCAAAATCTATTTCTCCACGTTATCGATCAATTTTTATTTGCTTTTGCATGAAAAATCACACAAACAGAATTTGTCTGTCGGTCTAAAGTCTCTGATCTATGATCTAGCCGTTATTTAAAATGTCCCTTGATTATCAACTATTCTAACGATTTTACAAGATAACAATTTAAAAAATATGGTTGAATACTGGAAATTTTCGTCAATATTAGAGCCACGTGGACAATTTTTGTTAATGTTAAGATGACATCTAAATAAATACATAGACATATAAGAAATATAACAAAAGTTACGGGAAACGCAAGAAAATATTAGAGATTAGGCAGAAATTGTCACCAATCTGGTCGTCATTTGAAAATACGGAGTTGATATTGAGAGATACGGCGAAAGTTGTGGAAAAGTAGGGAAAATTTGGGGAAATATTCCAAAAAAAGGGGGAAGGCAAAGAACTATCGGAAACGAGTTAATAGGTTTAGGTATTTTTGTCAGGCCAAGAGGCTTGCAAATACTGAGTGGAGGAATACAAAGAAAATTTAAATATTGGGGAGTGTAACGAAAAACGCAAGAAAATATTGGATAATCAGCAGAAGTTCGGGAAAATATGGAAAAATATCAACGAGGCATGAGGAAATATCGGAACATACGAAGGAATTTGGGAAACTATTCCAAAACAAAGGAAACGGAAGGAAATATTCGGAAAAACAGGAGGAAGTTTTGGGAAATACGCAAAAATAGTCGTCAACTTTAGAAAACATTTTTCGTTATTGTTGTCAGGCAAAGCCTTTCATTTTCTATACTGGGAATACGGAGAGGATTAATACAGAAATTTTTGAGAAATATTCGTAAAGTTACGGAGAAATAGCTGAGCAATATGAGAAAATATTACGAATATAGGAAGACATTTTAAAAAAAATTAAGATACAAGGAATTGTAATGAAAAATACGAAAAAATATGAGGAATTATTGGGAAATACCAATGAAATAAGAGGAAATATTGGGAAGTACAAAGGAATTTGGTAAAATATCAATGAAAAACGGGAAAATTTAAAAAGGAAGTTTAGAAAATATAAAGAAACAATAGGAATTTACGCAAATATTTGGAAAAATACACGAGGAAACGTGACGAAATATTGGAAAGTGCGTGTAAGATGTTGGGAAATACGAAGAAATTTGGGAAAATATCAATGCGATACGAGGTAATATTGGGAAATTGAAGAAAACTCTGGAAAATCTCAATGAAATACGCGAAATTATTTGTGTAAACATTGACCACGCGAGAGCCGCGAAAACAGTCGAATATGTAGAAGACGGAAACAACACTCACCGTAGTCGGTAAGGGAGTCAGATATTCCGGCCTCAAATATTGATTGCTTGAGGTGAGCATTGTCACGGATCACCACTCGCGGCTGCGAACCACACAAGAAAAAATACGAAGCGCTTTGCGCGATTCCATTCACGACGAAACGTCAATGTGGAAACACTAAACACCAGGGGCAACGGGATCACAGCACTCTTCGCCAACAACGAACGCGGCTTCACTAAAGTTCCGACGTACGAAGATCGGGCTTTGCCGTCGTCGACGTGACGTCACTCGCTGTCCCCACCCTTTCGCTCCGTAAGCTTTGACACCCTCCACGGCTGTGCCGTCGTCTATTTCGACGGATCGGCGTTAACGACGTCGCGACGTTTGTTTGCGCCGTTTCTTTCGCTCGTGTTGATACTTAGCGGATCGGGTTGTCAGATTCGCTATACGATTCGAGCGTCAATGTACCGGGTGTCCCACTAAGAGCAACGTGGTACGGTATCGGGGAAGCGGATGTTCCTAAAAACTAAACAAAAAAGAATTACTATATAAAGTAAAAGAATTTATAAACGTGGAAAATGTTCTTATATTAATAATACTATATTGTTAGATCCTTAGAGGGAAAGTTTTTCCCGAAATGCCGATAAAGTTGAATATTTGGACACGATAGGTGATAAATTAGGTTGTATAGGGTGGGCACTTTATTATTTTTCTCAGGAACTACTGATTTTAGAAAAAAAAGTTTTATGGCTTAAATTAAATTTTAAATTTACATATTTTTTATGTATACACCTTATATATTTTGATATTTCCAGAATCCTTGCCAAAAATAAAGGTATCTTTTATAAAAATCGAGATTATATATTTTTTTCATGCAAAATTATGTTCTTAGTAAATATGACTGCTTCCAATTCCAACGCGGCTTGACGAGTGGATGATTCTGGTATATTCTCAAAATGCAGTAGTATATCCAACAGCTTCTCCTCTTTTAGAACTTGTCGTGGTCTTTTCTTGGACATTGGACATCCATATTCTTTCGTATAACACTTCATTAAATATGTTAAGTATCTACAGGTACGAGATACATCGTTGCGATGGTTTGGCGCCATAAATAAATGAATTGAATTAAAGTTATAACTAAAGAACCATGACGAACAAAAAGGGTGATTTGAGCTGTTATGTATGACTGCGTCCGTATGTGAAGGTTCATGATAAATGGCAAAATCTAATTTGTTTTGCGTTTTCGTAACAGTTAAGTCTAAAAAAATAATAGAGTTGTCCCGTTCAATCTCGATAGTGAATTTTGTGCGATTGTTTAGATTAATTTAAAAAAGAATTCAATTGTCTGTCCGTTCCAACAAAGCAAGCAGACATCATACACGTCTATACCACCATAGAAAACATTTATTCAAAGGATGTTCCAGTATGATATTTTCCAAAGTATCCATAAAAATCTCGGCTAACAAAGGACTAAGTGGGTTTCCCATAATCAAACCTTCCTTAGAGATGTAAATCTGTCCATGAAATTCAAAATAATGTTGGTCTAAAGAACTATTAAGCAATCTAATAAATCTTGTTTCACCAATGGGTTAACCTGTTTCCGAGTATTTTTTTTGAAAAAATTAAAAATCGCTTGTGCAAATACGGCTAATTGGTTCAAACGGTGTCATAGACCGCATTAAGAGCTACAATTTTTGTATTTGCGGTTTTCGTGTATCACATAAGCTGCTCGGGATATTTGAAAAAATCCATATTGAAATCGTTATTTCGGGGGCTATTTTTAAAAAAATCTTGGACCAAGAAACGTGGAAGATCCTATAACCTCGACTTCGAACATTGTTTGGTTCATATACAGGGTGTGTCGTTTATGGGCAAAAAAATAAATAGATCCTAAGAATTTCCGTTATACAGGGCGCGAGATATTTGAAAAAATATCGTTCGACAACCCTATTGTTTGCTGTAACTTTGAAGTTCGACGAGATCTGAAGGACATTTTATACAGGGTGCATGCACGATTACATTACATCGATTTTGCGAAAGTTTCATAGTGGTCCGCAGGAGCACGATGGAAAAACAATGCACGATTTTTCGAAAGCAATCTTGTTTTTTAAATGTATCATATTTTTTTATTGTATATGTGAGCAAATTTATTTTTCAGAAAATTATCTATAAAATTTTTTGAATGGAAACCCAAATCTATGGCGGCACATGCCTTCGAACGTTTGTACCCTTGAGGTTGTAAACATATGCGGACCCAATCGAACCGCTTTGTTCGCGAACGGTCACGGGCAAATAAAATAATAGAAGATTTGGGGAATATTCGAGAGGCCGTTAAGCAAAATTGCAAACGTAAACAGAGGAGACCAAAGGGACACCGGCGTTACCGTTTTATGATGGTCTCTAGTGTCGTATCAATTGACCCGCAGGTAATGGTTTGTCGTCGAAATTATTACCTTTCTTGACAAGCCGATCGAGCCTCCAATTCGTAAAATTTTATGGACGATTTCGTCACCCAACAATAAAATTATAATTTCTGTCTATAATCAAGCGATCTTCGGCGATTAAAAATTTCAGCTGTTTCCTCGTCTCAGGTGAAACAATACAAACACAAACTTGAGTTTGCGGATGGGCAGGGGGGTGGGGGGCGGTTGTTCCTTTTCTATTTCGTTTAGATAAATAATTAAAATCACGAGGGCAGATTGAACTTTAGCGCTCATTGGTGTGATGACAACTGAACACTTGAGAGTAGTCGCGTACAGGGTCGGATTCAGCTAAAAATAAGCGAGAAAATTAAAAGAAAAACGCAAAACATTGTTGGATTTGGCAAAATTGTGCAGCGAGACGAACGAAAGAAAGCTTTCCTTTTTTAGTTAAATTTCAATCAAGACGGAGTAGTCAAACTGCACCAGTCGTGAGAAATTGAAATAAATTTGCCAAATATTCGGAACGCGGGCCTGACAAAAATGACAATTTCCACTCGAAATTCGTTGGAACAGCTGTGCCGCTTATAAAAAGCCAATTCCTTTGACGCGAACGTATAACTTGAAGCAATTCAACAACCATGAAACTCATCGTTTTAGTACTGTGTGCGGGTTTGGCGACCACCCATGGACGCTCAATGGTAAGTTTGATTTATTTATGCAGAAAATATAAGATTTTTTTACACCTTTAAACTTATACTCTTTGTCCTGCTGCATTTAATCCACCCGAAGTATTATGCTAGGGTTTCTCCCTTTACTCTACTACGAGAGTCCTGCACCTTCAGAGACGTGCAGTAGCTCATTCAGTTGCGCATTCACTGCTTTCGGATATGTATAGGAGCTTCCTCTTCTAATCACAGTCTTTGATAACTTTCTATGATATAAAGATTCCTCCTTGTGCTATAAAGATGCCTACCAACAGTCATGGTCGCATGTCTGCTTTGTTGATGGCTGAAGTTTTCCCACTAGTCTTAATCAACTACTCTTTAACACTTCACTACTGGTCTTGTAGGTAAGTAGAAGTTTCCTTGTCCGTCACCCACCTACTCCTCCTTGGCTGCCATTTTCCTATCAGGATTTTTACCAGCATTCGTAGTCGCATGTGAGAGCTCAGTTTGGGCCTGTGGCGTTAATGGTTCCCAAATAGAACCGTCACCCATTCAAAGGAAAGTTTCCCAGTACTCTTAACTGCACAGCTGTTTTTGAAGCAGAGTAGGGATTTCCTCTTCTTTTAATTCACAGTCGCACGCGAGACACAATCCCATTTAGTTTGGAACCCTCAATTACAGAATTGTTTCCCTGTTAGCCTCACGCATGATTCTATACCTGGACTACTTTTTTTCTAAACCCTAACCACCAAACGGTTCATAAAATTTCAGAGGCCAAATTTCTACGATATGCCGAGGATCGTTCACGGTAACGAGGTCTCTCCACACTCGATACCCTATCAAGGATTGAGCATCTTCGATGAGGGAGTCATGTGTGGCAGTATATTGATTTCAGAGACGTGGGTTCTTACCGCCGCTCAGTGCGCATTTGGGTAAGACTTGAAAAACTCCATCGGGCATATCATTAGCTTGTGTATTTTTTATTTATTTGTACACTAAAGCTGCTTAAATTATTCATCTAAAATCTGATGAAACTATTTCTTAATTTTTACCCAATAATAATGTGACTGACATTATTAGAACCAGCAAGGGTTCAGAAAAAACAAAAACAGTAATAAAAAAAATGGACAGATGAAGTTTCAACCTGAAAATTTTTTAAAAGAATTTAATTGAATGGGATTTTACTGAATCCGGTATACTAGTCAACAGTAGAACAGCGTTATAAGAATATGATACGCCGAACAAATATAAACGATATCATATAAATTGAAGCAATATCAAATAATTTAGGATCGAAGAAGTAAAGTAGCTGATAAATATCAGAAATATAATTAAGAATAATATAAGTCCAAGGACAGAACCTTGCGGTACACATTGTACTTTTTATAAAACTCTTGGATTCCTTCTGCGTTGGTTTATGTCGAACTTGCTAACGTTTTGAGCTTATATATTATAACAAACTAACAATCTTAACCGCGACTCAGGTCTTTACCTGTCACCAATATGGAAATCGGTCATCCGAGACGGTGTTTATGCCTATCACTTAGTTCCGCCTCCCTCAAACAATATATGAGCAGGTACAGAGTAAAATGCGAGCCAGTTTCAGTCAGGCTCTGAAGAAGCCAACAAGATGATTGGCGAAACGTCAGCAACTACGACTCAACAAAAACCGACGCAGGAGGAACCAGAAGTAAAAGCTCATTACACATACCAACTTTTCGAATTAATTGCTACTAAAATTTGCTTTATAAATGTGACATTCAAAATACCTCAAGCTTTTTGTCAACTATAGAATACCCATGATATTGTCGACAAGTGCGCGGATGGCCCTCGTGATCTCTAATGTTATCGCAGTCAATGAATGGAAAATTTTATCACAAGACCCTCAATGGAGGATGATTTAACTTGCTTTATGTTTATTAGAAATTACCGTAGTGTTTATTCGAAGGTCGTAAACGATGACAAATGTTTATGAAATGAGATATCATGTCCGTTATATGTCTAAAATTATCCAAAATAAGATCCGACTCTAGCAAAAAGAACACCTTGTTGTAATGGAGTTACTGGGATGGGATCCTCTCCTCTGCTCTCTATAATAGTTGCCCATCTTTACGTCCAATGATTTGAAGATCTGGCCTAGAGAAATGACAAGATTCTATATCAAGAATCCATCTAAAACCTTGCATGCATTTCCTTCTTCAGAATTTTTGAGAATGTGGGTGGAACAGTTATTTAACGAATATGCCCAAGGCGAATCATTTCATTTTAAAGTTTTCCAGGTAGCAGAGGGTCGTCAAAATGAAAAATGAATGAAAAAATGAAATGAAAATTAACTAGTCACCAAATGACGAAAATGACGTTATGTATGATGTCATTTAAGTGACGTCTTTGTTACGACAATTAGTATCGTCCGTTTTTGTCATTTAACTGGAATCTTTTTTACGTCAACTTAAAGTTAGGTTTTAGTCTTCAGTGTGGAAAAATATGACAATTTTTAAATTGATTTTTTCTTTTTGCAGTGGGAAAAATCAAAAGTAAATCACAATCAATTACCCCGCTTTTAATTACAAGAATATACGGGGACTTATATAATAAAATTATACTCATTGGCACATATTTATGAATCACCCTATATTTTTAAAAATATTTTTTTCTTCTATAACTTTTGTGTTTAACATTTTTCTCTAAAACAAATAATAAACGAAATCATGGTTTTAAATAGAATCAAGTCATTTTATGACGACATTCGGTGATCATTTTTGTGATGTTAATGTTTAATCTTTAATTTGCTGGTAATTGTTCTTTAAATTTCAGTCGAGAATCAAGAGTAAGTCCTAAACATTTGCAACTGCTACAAAAAGACAAAACAGAGTTCTTTATGCAAAATTTTACGTTGCTTTTAATATTATCAATTTGATTGTCATTTCCAAATATCATCGCTGGGGATTTATTACGATTAGGTATGAGCATATGAGTGATACTCTTGATACTGTTATTTGGTTTGTTAAGGCACTTCTCAGAAAAAGAAAAGTACAGTTGAATACTAACCAAAACTATAATGCGTTACCCTTTTGTTAACAGCTAAAGACAAAACAGTATCACATTATGTGTCATGTCATTGAACTGAGGTGGCTTTTACTTGATGAAAATCCATTTATCAAAATAAATAGGAACTAAAAGTTCAGATTTTCACGAAATTATGTATTATGACATGACAATTGTTTCGACAACACCGTGTCTTTATCATGTCATGTCATAATATAAAATTTCGTGAAAATCTGAACTTCTAGTTCTTATTTAATTTGATGTCATGTCATTTAAAAAGGATGATACGAAATTACAAGACACTTCACTGAATCCTGTTTGATGAAGAATTGAAATAAAGATTTCACGATCTATCATGCCAAAGGCAACAGGCAAACAACCTTATCTAAAACCTGATTGTTTTAGTAGCAAAATATTGTAAATATTGAGAAATACCTTGTGGTTGTTCACTATTTTCCCGAGAATATTAGAGAGCGTAGGCAGAATACTATATGACATATGATAGGCAACGAGGTTCCAATGTGAACTACACCCGAAGCTTTACTTTTTTAACCGTATAGAAAACAGCAACAACTTGTTAGAAGATACGTTCCATATTGTTTAAACTCATTTGTTTAATTTAAGTTGTTAAATGACTTTGAAGCACATTAACATTCACTTTGCCACTCTACTTGCTGATATAGATCACCAAATCATATCTGGGGCCGGAAACTTAACTTTTTTTTAAAAAAACTAATATTTTGAGACAATTCTTCTTTACTTCTTATGATACAACTTCTACTATCACCAACACCATTGGTTCTGGGAGCATAATTTGTGTCCCTTGGCACACGTTAGCGTATTTATGATTTTTTTGTCAGTAAGAGCTTTTTATTGGCCTAGATACTCTGAATGCCCGTTTCTGGGATCTTAAGTTGGTATTGGGGTCTAGGATTTTCATCGAAATTGTTACTTTTCCTGTTATTGTTGTCGATAATCATTAAAAAAAAATTGTCGTCTCAGATGATGATGACGTAAAGACAAATTTGAGATGGGAGGTCGATTACCACTTTTTCGCTTGATCGAGATAAAAGATTAAAATCACGAGGGCAGATATAACTTTAGCTCTAATTGGATGATCGATTATGGTGTGTTGACAACTGAATACTTGAGGATAGACGCCTACAGGGTCGAATTCAAGTGAAAATAAACAAAAGAACAGGGAAAAGGTAAAGTGTTTATGAATGAGAATCATTTATTTGGCCAAACTGTGCAGAATGGAAAGGAAATTTGAGTGTTTCAGTAGGGGAGTAAGTCTAACTAGACCATTCGTAAGCAATTAAAATAGGCTTGCCAAACGTTGGGAATGCGGGCCTGACAAAAACGATAATTTCCACTCGAACTGATACAAACAACTCAATGAATCATTTCAGCAGATTTGGCGCTTATAAAAGACCGATTCCTGTGATGTGAAGGTATAACTGAAAGTTGTTTACCAACCATGAAACTCATCGTTTTAGTGCTGTGCGCAGGTCTTGCTACCATCCATGGACGCTCCATGGTAAGTTTGATTTATTTATCCAGACGTATTATGCTTGCACATCACATTTATCCAGAATTGCGCTAGAAAATTTAAGTTTACACTTTTCCGCTCGTGGTCCTGCATTTACACCTAGGGAGTACTCTTTCAAAATAATCATCCACTCCTTAAGACTGCACAATTGCTTTTAAAGATAAGTAGGAGTTCCCTCTTCTTCTAAAAACCATCATTGATAATCCCTTATATCATAAGCAGGACTCTTCTGCGTGCTAATCTCCCTCTGGGACCCAATATATATATATATATATATATATATATATATATATATATATATATATATATATATATATATATATATATATATATATATATATATATATATATATATATATATATATATATATATATATATATATATATATATATATATATATATATATATATATATATATGTATATATATATATATATATATATATATATATATATATATATATATATATATATATATATATATATATATATATATATATAAACTTGGATTAATTTTTGTATAAACCTTACACAACAACATTTTATGAAATTGCAGAGGCCCGTTTTCTACGGTATGTCTAGAATCGTCCATGGTAACGAAGTCGCCCCACATTCGATACCCTACCAGGGATTGAGCACCTTCGAAGCAGGAACCTTGTGCGGTAGTATACTGATCTCAGACACGTGGGTTCTTACCGCCGCTGAGTGCGCATATGGGTAAGACTTCAACAGCTCCATTTGGGAGATCATTACCTGTATTATTTATACACCAAAACTGCTTAAATTATGATCGCAACAAGATCACAAACTTTAGCTGGTAAATTGGTTCCTTAATAGAATGGACGTAATATTATCGTAACCTGTAATTTTATTGTGGAATATCTAGAGCACAGAATATAGAGAGTTATGTTAAATCGAGGAAGGTCTTCCTACCTACACGTTTTTAACAAAGAAGGTTTTCTTATGCCAGTTGGTAGACCGTTGTAGAAGTTCAGACCCAAGCTTATAGCAAATCTAGAGTTAACATCCTTGTTACAGAAGGGAACAAATAGGCTCTGGTTTGTTATTTGCTAAAAATAGACAAATGTTATGGATATATACCTTTCTTGTATTTAGTATCTGAAGCACAGATTATAATGAGTTATGTTAAATCTAGGAAGGTCTTAAAGTTGGTGAACAAAACTAGCTTGTCTAGATTTTTTTAAGTTAGAAGGCTTTCCTATGCCACTTGGAAGATAATTGTAGAGGTTCAGACAAAAGCTTGCTACACAAGGGAACAAAGAGGCTTTGGTTTGTTATTTGGTTAGTTGCATATCAGTACTCAACTTTTATTGGGAAAGTTATGCCTTGGTGTAAAAAGCGACACATGTTATGGAAATAACTTTCTAATATTTAGTATACGTAATGAAATATAACTTCTGAAACGTAATTTTGGATAACATCTACTGGTTTGATCGAGTTTGCGTACAAACCAAACATACAATCAAAATACTGTTTAATCCTCAATAAAGAGATAGAAAAAACATTAACCAAAATTACTTTTATTTCATCTGAGATGAGAACAAATCCAGAATTACAAAGATTGTTTTTTGGTCTGCGTATCAGGTGTCGCACAAATTGGAAGTAAATTACTTTTAAGGTTAAGGTTTTAAGGCTCTCCTAACCTTATAAGTAACATGCTCTTCAAATCTACGTTTCTAACTTCCTTTTAAACGTCTTCAACCTCAATTTTATTTCCAAAAAGGAAAACAGTAAGTGATTGGCACAAAGTTATTTATTTTTTTATGGTAACTGGCATCGAAAAGCGCATACAATATAATGTCCTCGGCATACAATAATAACAATAACAATAATAATACTAAGAGTAATAATAATAACAATAATAATAATTATAACGATAATAATAAACAATGTTAACGCTTTTTTGAACGACTTCATTATGGGGAGGGACGTTATAGCGTAAGGTACTTCATTAAATAATTTAATTTCGTTATAGCTAAAAGATCTCTGGAAAGTTACCGAAGTGTGTTTAGGAACGCAATATCTTAAACAATGACCGGGGTCTCGATTAAGAATATCATTTCCTCAGCAAAGTTTATCAAACAAGTACGACGCGGTCTTATTGGAGTTTAGTAAAAAAAACAAAGGTGGCTAACTGAATTTTATGTCGGTCCTCCAGCTTGAGGCAACCCGAATCAGAGAGGCACTTTGAAATGTGGTCATACTTGACTTAGAAAATATTTATGAACGTACAGAAGGATTTTTGTAACATCGGGCCAAGATGCTTAGAAAATCGCAAGTCACCGTTAGACCATAATCCTAAATTTTTACACCAGTCTGAAGAAGGAGAAATAATCTCATCATTCAACGTATTCTTAACAGAAGCGTTTTTTACAATATTGTGTGATAAGGTTGTTAGCCGCAGATACCTCCGAAATTATTTTTAGATCTAAATTAATGGTAGTAGCTGGATTTAAAGCTTAACTAGCAACAAAAGATAACTGAGCATCATCGGCATATTGATGAGATTCACAAAATAGCGTACCGTAGGGCTCCCAGGATACTACCTTGAGGTGCTCCGGAACTAAATCCCGGTCAAAATCCTGGGCAATATGTTACAAAACGTTTAAAAGCTCTATTTTCTCTATTGTATTTTAACAATAAAATGTATCCCGGTTGTCTTTAAAGGTGCATGAATATAGTAGTATAGTATATGCCACTAAATTTTGACTTTAATTTGAGTTCCGTTCTTGGTAATTGCAAAATATCAAAGTCTCATCTATTAACGTCTGTAAGTTCATCTTTTCAATCATTTGGTGGCTTGTGCAGGAGTCGCTCGGCCAAGACTATTCTGGGTGCCCACAACATCTCCTCCCCAGAGTCAGACACCCGACAAGTCCTCCAGTCTGAAGAAGTAATCGTCCACGAAAACTATTCTCCCAATACTGACGCCAACGATATCGCTCTGATCAAATTGGCTGAGCCTGCAGTACTGACAGATTCCGTTCAACCAGCAGTACTGCCGTCGCGTAACGATCCAAGCTTGGTCGGCTCCAAAGGAACAGTGAGTGGTTGGGGTTATTTCGGTTTGACGAACACGACCTTACCCTACAATCTTAACGCCGTCACGATCGATATCATCGACGGCTACGTCTGCAAGTTGGCTTACAGCATCTACAACAACGAGACCACAATTTGCTCCAAGGGTGAGACGGACGAGGGCCAGTGTTGGGGAGATGCCGGTGGACCTCTGACCGTCAACGGCAAGGTCGTAGGGATTATTTCTTACGGTCCGCCGTTCTGCTACAACCAGGACAAGCCCACCGCTCAGACCAGGATCTCGTACTACTTGGACTGGATTTCTGAGAAAACCGGAATTGTTTTCGCTTAAACTGACAACAAAATACTGATTCGAACATCAACTAAGCGCGTTTTTTTTATAAGCCTAGAGAAGACTAAACCAAACAGCAGCAAATTATATACAAGACGTCTTATTTTCATGGTATGCTACAAGTTTTCAGTCTACTCCACTAGACGAAAATTTTAAAACTTTAATATTATAATCTAACATCCAATCTTCTAGATATCAAATTCACCATGTTATTCTTCCATCCAACTTGCAGATATCTATCACCAAATCAGGAGTCAGAAACGTTGTTTAAGTCAGTGATTCTGAGACAGTTGTTGTTTAGTTCACATGACAAAACTGTTAACATCACCAATGCACACTTCAAATCTGGCTTTATAGCTTCAAATTGGTTCCTATAAATTTTGACAAGTTGTTCTTGAAAACGTTGTGATGGTTGCCCGCAAATGTTCTTTGATAATCCATTTTAATTTCCTTGATGTTAATTTCTGGGCATTTTTGACTCAGCTATCGTTGTTTTGTACAATGATACGGTCTGCATTTTGGCACTTAGAATAAAAGTCAGTGGCCATTTTTATTATTTCACCAGAAACAGCTTTGCCGAGAGCCATTTTTGGTTGTTAACAGCAATAGAACTGCTTAGAAAGTTGATTTAAACCTCAAAATTCAACTGACAAATAATAATAAGAAGAATAAGAAAAATAATTTCTTTGTATTTCTCTGGGCTGTAGATGCGTTGGTCACAGAAGAATCTTGAGGGATTCTTTCAAATTTTTAGAAGAGTTGAGTTTCAGCCTTACGAGATGTTCTCTATTACCTGTATTATTTTGATGTGTGATTAGAGAAGCATTCTACAGCATTGAAAACGTCTCTCTCGACGACTGCATCGGTAAGGGGGTCAGTAACTTGCCTCCATTATATAATAATAATATTTCTGGATATCCATATTTTCTGCAAATAACCATTCTTTTATAAAATGTATATATATATATATATATATATATATATATATATATATATATATATATATATATATATATATATATATATATATATATATATATATATATATATATATATATTCCCACGTATTGATTCACGGATGGAAAAATGTGATGACACTATATTCCGGGATATCATCCGTTCGCTCGTTGAACCCCGACTGGAATCCTGCATCCGACTGGAATCCTGCAAATCCTGCATCCGACTGGAATCCAGCAGACGTTTCGCCAAAATCTCACTTGGCATCTTCAATGCTCGCGCTCCGAAAACAGTGTTCGAAGTGTTTTCTGAGCACATACATCGTATCTATTTAATTCTTACCAAATGTTAGAGGAGGTCTGTAATCTATTCTCAAAAAAAAAACTTTTTTCATGACGAATTGTATTAGTTGTAAAATTTCGTATAGATTTGGAGTACTCCCAGTGAATTTTATCCCGACTTTTTTTATACCTGGAGTGTTTGACACGTTTGACATTTTCGGCGATCCAAGGCTAATTTGACCTGGTAAATCCTGCAGTCTTTTTAGGTGCATGTATTTCAAATACGCTCTAAATATAGTAGTAGTCTTTCAAGAAATGAGTCTCTCAATGTTAATATATGCCTTGATCCCACATCAAAGAGGCAACAATATAGGAGCCAAGAAATTATCTGGTCTGATTTATTTTCACATCAAAGTAAAATAGCAAATTTAAAAGGATATCACATTCTGGAACGTATATTGAACAACACTTTTAAGTGATTTTGCGAGCAGAAACTAATAAATTGTGAGTAACAACAACGGAAACGTTATTTGTGGTATCAAGTAAGTCGTTTACAAATAGAAGAAATGCCATATAATTTCTTTTTGTTCACCTGTCTCAATTTTACAGGTGAGTTCATATCAAATCAAGATCACATTTGGTCCAGAGGACTAGCTAAAGCACCTGGTAATTTGCTGAATGACTATTGCTTCTTCGAAATATGTGCTAACTTCTTCCTTGTCGATGATTTTAACTTCTGTGTCTGAGAGCGGTCATCTACACCGAACATCTTCATTTCCTTCATTCCTTTCCTTCATTTTTTTCTACAACTTATACTCGTCTTCTCCCGTTCCGGAGCCATTCCAAGCTTCGACACTTGTATATCCATTAATGAGAGTAGGCTATTTTCTTCTTTCTAAATAGTCTTAGATTGTTGTTCTTGCAATCTACAAATAATCCCGTGTAAATGTGGGCACCTGTTGGAGAGGGGAGAGGAGAATCGCCATCCCAGTAGGGACTTCTCTTGGATAATTTCAGACCTATAACGGACATAATTTCACGTCATCGTTTATGATCTTCGAATATACACCCGCAAGTAAAATCGCTCTCCATTGATATTTCGTCTGTCACTGAAGGTCTTGTGATCATTCATTGACTGCGATAAGATTAAATATCACGAGGGCCAGCAGCGCACTTGTCGATGTTGAGTTATCAAACATGGCGTGGTGGGAACTAAATACTTCATAATTCTCGGCCTAGGACATTTACATCACACTAGGTAGAATATCTATCATAACCTAGGTTGTAGTTTGAACTACCCCTCTAGTTCAAATTAAGCATGCCGTAGATAAGTGCAGCCATGTTTTTAACGATTCAAATTTATACAATGGCTAAATACGGCACTGAGCTGGCTAAAGCTTCCAGCAAAATCTTGATAGGACCAACCGCGTCTATATAAACCAGACCACTTTCAAATTTTGAAAGTGCGATGATGAAGCTCGTGATTGTCGTAGTGCTGTGCGCCGCTGTAATGGGGGTTCGTGCACGCTCAATGGTAAGCGAGAAGAAACAAAAAACCGAAGATTTTTTTTAAGCTAAATTGCAGCTGCCTGATGACTCGAGGATCATCCACGGCAATGAGGTCACTCCACACTCTATACCATATCAAGCCATCGCAACCTTGGATGCGGGATACGTGTGTGGTGGTATTGTGATCTCCGATACTTGGGTGCTCACCGCCGGTCACTGCGTCTATGGGTATGGCAGCTTCTTTTCCTTTATAGGTTCAACTTGTTCAAGATACGGTTGTTTTCTCAGGAGTCAAACTGCTAAGGTGATTCTGGGCGCCCATAATATCTCCCAGGAGGAGACTGATACCCGACAAACGATCCAATCTGACGAGTTAATTGTCCACGAAAACTTTTCCTCCAGCAATGTCGCCAATGATATCGGACTAATCAAACTGTCCGCGCCTGCAGTGTTGAACGACTACGTTCAACCAGCAGTGTTACCGTCGCACAGCGATCCTAGCTTGGTCGGCCTGAAAGCGACAGTGAGCGGTTGGGGTTACTTCGGTTACTTGAACCAGAGCATCCCCTACGTCCTGAACGCAGTCACCATAGATATAATCGACGGCGCCGCCTGTAGGTCGGCGTACAGCATCTACAATGCTGAGACTACCATATGCTCCAAGGGTGAAACGGATGAGGGCCAATGTTCCGGAGATTCGGGTGGACCTTTGGCGGCCAACGGCAAGGTGGTGGGGATAGTTTCTTACGGTCCTCCGTTCTGCTTGAACGAAGAGAAGCCCACGGCGCAGACCAGGATCTCGTACTACCTGGACTGGATTTCCGACAAAACGGGAATTGTTTTTGATTGAAGTGAAATGTTTTTATTACACCTCTATAAGGTTTCAAATTTAGTACTTCCATTGTCTTTGGAGCTTCACCTAGTTCATCTAGATCAAATACTTGAGTTAAATATGGATTAAATATAGGAAAATAGATTATGCTAGTCTTTTTTTTTGAGTGATGATGAGAACAAAATCTTATTGACAGCGATTTTATAATTTTACATAGGATACAAAGATGACGTCAGCGTTCTCTGCAGCGGAGGTGGTGAGAGGTTATCCGCTTTTCTAAAATATGTAAACTAATTACACTTCAAAACTGTAGGAGAGCGACTTTCTATACCATCAGGTATAGGAGCATAAAAAAATAAATAAGAACTAAAAGTTCAGATTTTCACGAAATTATATTGGGTTGTTCGGAAAGTCATTTCGTTTTTTTTGGGGAACATGAAAGACAGTTTTCGTATAATGAATACATATTTTATTAAATTATATAGTGGCCATTCTGGTCCAACACATTTTGCCATCTTTCTGGCAATAACATAATTCCCCTCTCATAAAAGTTTTGGTCCTTGCTGGCAAAAAACTGGTTCAGGTGGTTTTTGACATCTTCATTTGAGGTAAAGGTTTTGCCATCCAAAAAATTTTGCAGGGACCGGAACAAATAGTAGTCGGAAGGCGCCAGATCTGGAGAATATGGTGGATGTTGCAGTACGTCCCATTCAAGCTGTAAAAGTTTTTGGCGAGTGACCAAACTTGTGTGAGGTCTCGCATTATCCTGGTGGAACACTACACCCTTCCTGTTGATTAATTCGGGCCTCTTCTCTTTAAGTGAATCATTCAATTTGTCCAGTTGATGACAATAGACTTCTGAATTAATCGTTGTATTGTCCGGCAAAAGCTCAAAAAAAAAAACGATTCCTTTGACATCCCACCAAACGGAGAGCATCACCTTTTTTTGGTGAATGTTGGCTTTTGACACGCTTTGAGCCGGTTCATCTTTTCTGCTCCATGACCTCTTGCGTTTAACATTGTTGTATACAACCCATTTTTCGTCCCCAGTAATAATCCGCTTCAAAAATGGATCATTTTCTTGACGTTTGAGGAGCGAATCACACACGTCAACGCGACGACACAAATTTCGCTTCGTAAGGACATGGGACACCCACACATCGAGCTTCGAGGTTAAGCCCATGCCTTTCAAATGGCCATAAACAGTCGAATTCGACAAATTTAATCTCTCACCGATCTCTCGTGTGGTTATTCGCCGATTTGCATCAACTAATGCCTTTATCGCATCTTTGTCAACTTCGACCGGCCTTCCAGACCGTGGTGCATCTTCGACATCAAAATTGCCGGATCGAAATTTTGCAAACCAGTTCTGGCACTGGCGTACTGTTAACACGCCTTCTCCATACACATCCGTCAATTTTTTTCTCGCTTGGACAGCATTTTTACATTTTCTGAAGTAAAAAAGTAAAATATGACGAAAATGCTGCTTATTGCTCTCCATATTTAAAAGGGCACCAACCAAAAACTACTGCGTAGAATTAATAGAACTTTTTCACACAGAAGCCTTGCAATATCAGCTCTCAAGACAAATAATGGTTATGCGGCGTAAGTGTGAAGTTGGTTTCGAAAAAACGTAATTAAGTCCTCTGACGGGAAAAAACGAAATGACTTTCCGAACAACCTTATATATTTTGACATGACAATTGTTTCGTCTTTATCAAATGTAAGATTTACAAACTACCTGTTACTATATATACCGAAAAATGACCATAAAACTTTAATTAATGTTGTTGTGAGAATTTAAGTTCAATAAAGGAGAGGTATTTAAATCTAATTGATCGTTAAGCAATACATTTGAACGTCTCATTTTGTTAATCTCCATGGCTTCCAATAAATTTAATTTTCTACTTTTTGTGGCTGTGTGTAAAATATCAAAATAGTCGTAAAAAATGTGTTTTTCTGTGTTTAAGTGTGTAGAATAATTAGAAGCTACACTATTGTTTTTAAACGCTCTTTTATGTTTGTTAATGGCTTTCTGGAAGGATCGACCTATTTATCTTTCTTGAAGTTTGTCCAATATAAATTTTAGGACAAGATCCGCATTTCAACCTGTAGACACCTGATTTTTGAGATTTTGGACATTTCGTTTTATTGTTTTTTAAAAATTTTCCTATTTTGTTGTTAGTTCTGAAAGCTATTTTTAAACCACATTTTGACAAATGTTTTGAAAGTTTCTTACTAGGTTCTCCTATATATGTAATTGTTTTAAATTGTTCGTATTCTGAATTACGTTTTGGATAAATAGGATTTACTGTTGTCCGGATTTGTTTTTAATTTATAATTTTATCTATAATGGACGGATTGTAGCCGTTGTTCAGTGCAATTTGTTCTTTGTTGTAATTTTCTGTTGAGAGTGCCGTGTTAAGAAGTCTGAAGAAGATGACACAATATCTCTAACTCAACATATTGAGTGGAATTAGTCCCACATGGCCGGAGACATTTTATCTAATAGACAGCAATTGTCAATAGTATTCAGGAAGGGTAGAATCTTGAAACAGCTCAAAAGACCATATTCATATTTAATTCTTCTCCTCCTGATGCAAATTTTATATTTCTAATAAAAACTTCCTGTTCTCATGGAAAAAAGAGTGAAAATTGTCATTTTCTGATCGTTAAAGTTTATTTATATTGTGTATTATTGAAATATAATATTCTCAAAGTATAGGTAAATCCAAAACAACTTTTTCGATGTATTTTTACATGTTCTAAGATAAAGTGAAATCTCCAGATTCAAATATCATCTATACGGTTTCTCCTAACGAATTTTCACGGCGAGGTTTTCGATTCGGACCGGGCAATCGGAAGTAACGAACAATCCCGTCGGGTACGGAATCGTTCCCGCGGGAAAGCCCCCCTAATCGGTCCCGTGTAGTTTCCAGACATTTACCCTGACAACTATTGCGGTCGTGTCGACCTTTCCAGACATAATAAATCTGGACCGACTGGTTCCGACCCCAAAGGTGGTGGTGTCCCATTCCTTATATCCAGTTCCGGGATTTCGGTTTGTTTCCCGAAGAGCAGCCGAGAAATATAGTAGGAAATATAGAATATAATTAGTCTGGAAGCATTCATCTTCGTTACTTTCGCAAAATCGATGGAATTGAATTTCTCGAAAGTATCTACACTCGTTAAAAAATGAAATATCTGCGGGATGATTGCTAGGCCAGATGGTGAAGTGAAAATACATTCGAAGTGTTTTCGGAGCGAGAGCATTGAAGATGCCAAGTGAGATTTTGGTGAAACGTCTGCAGGATTCCAGTCGGATGCAGGATTCCAGTCGGAGTTCAACGAGCGAACGGATGATATCCCGGAATATAGTGTCATCATATATATATATATATATATATATATATATATATATATATATATATATATATATATATATATATATATATATATATATATATATATATATATATATATATATATATATATATATATATATATATATATATATATATATGTGTGTGTGTGTTTTAATAATATAATGTTTTATTTTAGTCCTTCACGGATGGAACTATGTGTATTAGAATATCACCCCTGTGTTTCCGTTTAGCAGTTAAAAATATTTGCGTGGCGTCGAAAACACATATTAGGTATGAAGAAACATAACGAAACCAGTTGTAAAATATTCTTAATAATCCAAATATGCTACGATTTCGAAAATATTGTTAACGACAGAAATTTTTGGAATAGCAATAGGAAACTCAAGGCTGTAAAGATATGCGGACCCAATTAGACCGCTTTTACGCTTGATTTAGATAAAAGATTAAAGTCACGAGGGCAGATTGGATTTTGGGTTCTCATTGGACCAGCAATTATGGTATGATGACACCTGAACACTTGAGGATAGTCGCCTGCAGAGACGGATCTAAGTGAAAATATACGAGAAAAACAGCGAAAAAAACGAAATTGGGCATCTCAGATATAGGTAAGTCTTTAACTAGGATAGAGTAAGTAAAACAAGTAGAGGAGTGAGTCAATCTAGACCAACCGGGAGCCAATATAATAAAATTGCCAAAGGATCATAATGCAGGCCTGACGAAAATGATAATTTCCACTCGAACTGACATAAACAATTCAATGAGTCGTTTCAACAGATGTGGCGCTTATAAAAGGCGAACTACTCTATTGTCAAGGTATCACTTGAAGCAGTTTAACAACCATGAAGCTCATCGTTTTAGTGCTGTGCGCAGTTCTGGCGAACACCCATGGATGCTCCATGGTAAGTTTGATTTATTTATCTCGTTTCAATCCTCATTGAGACTTTTACACCTCCTGATCAATTGTGCTGGTACATCTGCACTTACTCCTTAACAGTGCGCTACTAGCACAAAGTTTACTAATGTTGGTTAACTGTAAAGGCGACCGTTTTGGGACCTCTCAGACTAGCATTCACACAAGCAAATAATTTCTATAAGGCTTATATTGCTTGGTATATGGGATACCCTCTATATTTTTCACACAGATAAAATAATAAACTATAATTAAAATTCGAAGTGACTGAGGGTTTTATTGTTTTTGTAAACGTTCATCATCAGCTCATTTGTTGTTCATAGAAATTATTATTAGTGGTTGGAAAAATTATAAATTAAGGAGAATAGAATAAAAAGTTGCATGTAATGCAACATGTAGAAAATTACAGTGACATAAATCTCATATAAATAAATAAATATTAAGTAGCCGAATCAACCTTCATAGACTTTACGCTTAAAATAAACAATAAAATATGTTCAATACAAAAAGTTCCAGAAGGCACACCAATGCGCCCTCTAGAGGCGGGGGTGGGATAAAATATCTGACATATCATCTGACATCATTGCATCATTCGGTTATTTACTTAACTTAAATCCTCGACGGAAGTCGGCAATGGGCGAATGATCCTGTTAGTCGTGCCCAACAGTTTTTTGTGAAACGCGTCATTGAATTGAATTGAATTTAGTTAACCTTTATATATGTGTACCGCAACGCCTGCATCCTAACCTCAAAGTGAATGTTTAATTGTGTTGACTGAAATTGATTTTTATAATTTAAACAAATTTTGAAAGAAGCGGAGAAAGGAAACAAAGAACTCACTGTCTTTCCCATCAGTTGGGAACATTGTTTTTGCCCCAAAAAAATGCAAACAAGTACAAACATGACCCAGAATCCCGACCCTTGCTGGATGTCGATACCATGTAGGGCAAAAAGACAATGGTTTACATCGTTTCAAATAACAGAAGCAGAATTAAAAACCGTTGTTTTTTTCTAAACCCTACACCAATAACGTTTCATTGCAGAGTCCCGACTTTTCCGTTATGTCTAGGATCGTCCACGGCAACGAAGTTGCTCCACACTCGATACCCTATCAAGCACTCATCATATTCGATGCGGGAACCATGTGCGGGGGTGTTTTGATTTCAGAAAAACTTATTTATACGCAAAGAAAAATTTATACAAAAGTTAAATACTCAAATAATAAGAATAAGTGGAAAATGCGAAACTAGAATGACATAAAGTGACAAAGTGAGCTTTTTGAGTTCTGGCATCAATGTGATTTTTTCCTGAATTTAACGAAACGGCTTGGAAAAGACTTTTCCTACTCCCCCTCACTCCCTCCCTCTCATTCACCCTCCCTTTCTCTCTCCATCCCTCTCTTCCTCCCTGCCTCTCTCTCCCTCCCTCCCTGTTGTCCTATCAATCAGGCTATTAGCATGGTTGTGCTAAATTTTTGTCGCCTAACACGCCCCAGTATTTAATGTCATTCTTTGTTGGCTCATTAAGGAGTGAAGGGGCCAAAGTCATTCTGGGTGCCCACAATATATCCCAAGCAGAGGCGGATACCAGGCAAACGCTCCGCTCCGAAGAGATAATCATCCACGACGGTTTCTCGTACAGCGACAACGCCGACGACATAGCTGTGCTCAAATTGTCTCAGCCAGCGGTACTGAACGAGTACGTCCAGCCAGTTGGTCGGTTCCAAAGGGACCGTGAGTGGTTGGGGTTATTTCGTTATGACGAATACGACCTTGTCCTACAACCTTAACGCCGTTACCATCGATATCATCGACGGCTACGTCTGCAAGTTGGCTTACAGCATCTACAATGCTGACACCACCATCTGCTCCAAGGGTGAGACGGACGAGGGCCAATGTTCGGGGGATTCGGGTGGACCTCTGTCGGTGGACGGCAAAGTCGTAGGGATCATTTCTTACGGTCCGCAGTTCTGCTTCAACCAGGACAAGCCCACCGCACAGACCAGGATCTCCTACTACTTGGACTGGATTACCGAGAAAACCGGAATTGTTTTCCCTTAAACTGACAATAAAACGCTGAACCGAGCATTATTAGCCTAAAGAAATTTTTTCAACGAAACTTGCCTATGGGTATATTATTTACGAAACTTCTGGACTCCTTCTACTCCAGTTGTTGTTGAATCGAACTGCACTGTACCCGCTTATATGACGTTTGAAGGGAGATGAGCTAAAGACCTGAGTCGCGGTTCAGATTGTTTGGTTGCTTCTAGATTTCTATAGATTCTCGGTCGAGGAATCGATTACATGAAAGAAAGTTTTATTGTGTTCAGCAACCCCCTAACACCACTACCAAACAGTGTGACAACTGTATCATCGAACCAACTTCAAGATTCAAGATATTCTTACAGACGGACCCTATCGTCAACTAAAAAAAGATCTTATATACATGTTATTAAGTCTGTCACAGACAGGCAGTTCTCGAACATATTCTCTAGCAAAATATCTAGCTTTTACATTAAACCCGTTTACAGGGAAACTAATAGCTTAGTACTTAATTCATTTCATTAAACAATTAAAAAATATAACCGAACTAAATTCTGGTTCATTTTGATGTAGAATCTCTTTTAACTATAGTCCTTATTGCTGAAACTTGAAAAACATTTATCTGGGACATGTTTTTCTTGTAACTGTCAAATTTCACCAGTCACAGCGAATATATTCATGGAAGTCTTTGACAAAAAAGCCCCCTAGAAATTCTATCCAAAACCAAAATTATGGAACCTCTACGTGGATGTTCGTTATTTGGATTCTCGGCCAAGAATTCCTCCAAGATTTTCATAGTAAAGACTCGATACTCCCAAAAATACATTTGCCCATTGAATAGAAGATCAGATTTATTATTGGGTCTTCTGTTAACAGAAAACCTACACACACAACTCTCCTGTTTAGAGAGCCACGAAAATTTTGAAAAAAAAGTAGAACATAGACACTAGATAAGTTGTTAGTTTTGTTTGTAAATAGTAGTTCTTGACCACACTTTTGTACAAAAACCATTGACAAAAATTAGCACGCAATGGAAAATTTCTTGGAAGTAACGCTCGGACTCGTTGAACATGAGATTGGTAGAATTGAAAATCTTGCAAAATTTTCAAAAAAAAAAAAAAAACGTACGAGATATTCAGAGTATTTTCAATTCTTCTAGTACTAAGTTCAGAATTTTCATCAATAGAATATAAAACTGCTCCTTCAATTTGTGGAGTCTTACAGTCCGGCCCCTTTTAAATGATTCTTTGCCATCAAAGTAAAGTCTGTTCATAGATACAAGAAAGTGACTAACTGATACTAATTAAGGAAAGACCCGCGCAAGCTGTAAGAATGAAATATGGCCGTACTTTGATTAGAATTTAAATATTTGGGGTTTTGTTAGGAAAGATGCTAAACAATATTTATTTATGTATTTATGTTTAAATGTAAAATAAAACTACAAATTATTTTTATTACCTACTTAAATTACTTAAAATTATTCACATAATATATCAGTATCACTATCGCTATCATCGCCTGTTCTAATTATTATTTGTTGTATATTATTTGGATATTCGATTGTTCTGCTTTTTCTATATGTTTAACAGAATTTTCCCAACTTTGTGGAGGGATGTTAGAAACTTTGATATCTATAAGTATGAGGACATTGGAGTTAACACGCGGAAAAACATTGTTACGACGAATGGCAGATTTCAATTGGTGCAAAACATGTTCAATGGGATTAAATATACAGTGGTAAGGTGAAAGCCTTAAAACTGAATACCCTAGATTTTTTTCATAATTATCACAGACTTATTCCTTTTGTAGGTTCAAGCTTTGTGAAAATAAATGTTGTTATTATACATGTAGTTTTGGATTGTTGCTTTTGTGTCACAATCAGCGGTGGTGTCTTCATGGTAATCCAGAGAAGAATCTTTAATATTTTTCGCAGACAGAGAAAGTCCATTTGGAATCCAACCATCCTTAGAGCCAGCATGCAAAATAGTTATTCTTTTACTTTTTTTTTGATGGCGCGTTTGTTTTACACTCATCAGTTGAGTCAACCCAATCCTTTTCCGGGGTATCATAGGTGTCGAACCAGGTTTCATCGAAGTAAATAATTGGCATTTGTTGTTCTCTGTAAATCCTAATTTTTTCTAGATATTCCAGTCGCCATTTCCGAATTCTAAAAGATTCCATTAAAACTTGCCTTTTGTCAGTTTTTTAAAATTTAAGACCCATGTATTGAATACACTTCTATAAGGTGGTTCTGCCACATGTATTATATCTTGATGACTTTCATCTACACTCGAGAAAATGTCAGCATCGCTTCTTTTTTTCCTCGCTGAAACTTTCCATACAGTTGATGTTGGAATTTTCTTCAATGTGGCCGTTTCTTCTACGTTCAATGGGAGTCAAATAAACATCGTTTATAACTTCCTTAGTCTCAATAGAATGGTGTTTTCTACATTTGGGAGGGAACATCTTCTGAGATACACTAGACTCGCACATATTTTGCATAATTCGCACGCGACTCAACACACGGTGTATTACGAAATAAGGATTACTAATAAACTTAAAGTAAGTAGCATACCAAACCAAATAATATTTTTTAATGCGAAAACCGTACATTGGATGGAAAAAAATGAAGAAATTAATTTTTTTTAGAAATGTTTGTAGAAATAATTTTTATTCTAAGAGAAATCAGTGGCGTGTCTGCCATTAAAATATCTGAAGTGATATTACAGATATTGTTAAAATATATTTAATTTTTTAAAATTTGCCACCCTGTATTTCAAAAGTTACGACGTTTCTTTCTGCTAAATTAGGTTTTAGTTCGTGGTACCATGAATTGGATAGCCTTAGCCTCATTTGTGTTTCCGTACATTCGTACATTGATTATTAGAGATAAAGTCGAGTATTATTATGATTATTATAAATTTATTCTTTTTTTTTTTAATTTTTATCGTGCATTAACGATCGAGACATTTCTTTTTTTCTATTGTCGCCGAGCTTTGCCAGTCTGTCTTTTCCGCTGGCCGAAACCTCAAACGAAATCCCGATGATAAATCAAGCCCCGAATTCGCATTTGTGCAAACTTTCGTTTGCCCAAGGCATTTCCTCTAATCAAAATAAACATTAGGTTTTGGCCGCGTTTGTTTGATCTGCGCCGGCAAAACCGTGGTCGCCGTCCAATCAGGATCTATAAATCACCGACGATTGATACCCCGGCTGACAACCTGAATTGCCGAGTCTGGAAAACGAATATTCGAACCGTTCCTCCATTGTGAAACTGCGAGACAGACGACTTCGATCTCGCCGGGATTGATGACGGGTTTTTTTTTTGCGCTCGAGCGAAGTTTTGGATAAAATTAAAATTTCAAGCAGCGACCGGTAGGTTAAAAACAAAACTTAATGTCAGCCAACATTAGCAAAACTAGATATACAGAAAGAAATCGCAAAGAAAAGAAATATATGTTAGATCAGAAGTCACGGTTATGTCGACCAATTTTTAAAAAGTTGAAAATTATGTCGCTTCCTTGTCTGTATATTGATTATCAATTATTAGAAATATACAAAAACGTAGACAGCTTCAGTCAGAATTCCTCTTACCATGACTATTTAACTAGAAATAACGAGCTACTTCGTGCTTCAAGATTGAAATATACAAAAAGTAAAAAAAAATCACTAAACTTAAACTTGTACAATAAACTACCAGCTAACGCGAAAGTTCTAAGTAATAGAAACATCTTAACCTTTTCTTAAAAGGTACTGCTTTTACTCGGTCGGGGAATACATGTGTATGGTCTGTTCATAGATATAAGAAAGTGAACAATTGCTTTTGAATGGAATTATCCAAGGGTGGTCATTAACATACAATGCAACAAGATTATTACCTAAAGTTTCGGAATTTAAATTCAGGTGAAATTGTGGTCCGTAATAGAGAATAATTTTATACCTACCTATATTCTTTGGTTTGGTATACTACTTTGTTTAGGTTTATTAGTAATCATTCTTATTACGTGTGTAATACGGCGTGTGCGAATTATGCAAAATATGTGCTAGTCTAGTGTATCTCAGGAGATGCTGCCTCCCAAATGTAGAAAACACTATTCTATTGAGACTAAGGAAGTTATAAACAATGTTTATTTGACTCTCATTGAACGTGGTGCCAGCAAGCAAGCATATTTAGAAGAAACGGCTACATTGACGAAAATTCCAACATCAACTGTACGGAAAATTGTGAATAATTCCATGTCAGCGAGGAAAAAAAGAAGCAATGCTGACATTTTCTCGAATGTAGATGAAAGTGATCAAGATATGATACGGCGTAATATTTACGAGGAACAAAGCGTGCCTTAATTAGGAGGCTCGAAAAAGATGAAACCGGTGTTAAATGCTACCTTATGGAAGTGTATTCAACACATGGGTTTTAGAGTTTAAAAAATTGACAAAAGGCAAGTTTTAATGGAATCTTTTAGAATTCGGAAATGGCGACTGCAATATCTAGAAAAAATTAGGATTTACAGAGAATAACAAAGGCCAATTATTTACTTGGATGAAACCTGGTTCGGCACTTATGATACCCCGGAAAAGCGTTGGATTTACTCAACTGATAAGTGTAAAACAAACATAAATATATACATAAATAAATCAATATTGTTTAGTATCTGTCCTAACAAAATCCCAAATAATTAAATTCTAAGCAAAGTACGGACCTCTTCGGCCATATTTCATTCTTACAGCTTGCCCGGGTCTTTTCTTA